AAAAAAAAAAAGTCACAGTGTTATAAAACCATAAAATCATAATTTTATTTCTGGAATTACAAAACGTGTGCCTTAAAATAGCAGGTTTGTGGAGCAGTGATAGGTAAAGGGGCTGTCATTCATTCATTATATAAATTTCTATTACACTGAATCTGTTCACTCTGAACAGTTTATCAGATCAGTACTATGACTGGAGTTAAAAACATACAGTACAGCACAGCACAGAAATAACATTAAGCTCATCTGCTCATCTCCACTCTGGCATGATGCGATTTTGTCGGGATAACAACCACTAGTCAATTTTTCATTCTTTCTCCACCAACTTTCCTAAAGAGCCACTGTCTATATGCTTATCAATTTCCTGAATGCAGTACACTGGCCTCTGTATGACACAACATGTTACACTAGATAAGTCACTGCCAGGCTCAAACAAGTCTAGTAAGTTATTCTCAAAAACACAAAATAAAATATAAGATAGACCCAAGATTCAGAAGGACCTTGACAGACTTGAGCAATAGGCCCCAGCCAATAAGATGCAGCTCATTGGGTTAAGGTCCTGCAGTTAGGCAGGGAAAACTAAATGTACAGGTGTAGAATAGGAGATACCTGGTTCAACAGCACTAACTGAGGGATCTAGGTGTCCTGGTGGATCGCTGCTTAAGCATGAGACATCAGTGTGCTGCAGCTGCCAAAAAAGCCAATGCAGTCCTGGGCTGCATCAACGTAGGGATAGTCTCAAGTGATAGTAAAACCAAATGTACAGGTATAGTACAGGGGGTACCTTGCTCAATAGTAGCAACTGTGAGAGGGATCTCGGAGTCCTAGTGGACAATCACTTAAATATGAGCCAGCAGTGTGCTGCAGCTGCCAAAAAGGCCAACACAGTGCTAGGCTGCATTAACAAAGGGATAGAATCAAGATCACGTGAAGTATTAATACCACTTTACAATGCCTTAGTAAGGCCACACTTGGAATACTGCATCCAGTTTTGGTCACCACGATGTAAAAAAGATGCTGAGACTCTAGAAAGAGTACAGAGAAGAGCAACAAAGATGATCAGGGGACTGGAGGCTAAAACATACAAGGAACGGTTGCTGGAATTGGGTATGTCTAGTTTAACGAAGAGAAGGACGAGGGGGG